GAGGTGGGTGCATCACCTGAGGTCAGGAGTTTGAGACCGGCCTGGCCAACATGGTGAAATTCTCTCTACTAAAAACACAAAATTAGCTGGTGTGGTGGTGGGCACCTGTAGTCCCAGCTACTTGGGAGGTTGAGGCAGGAGAATCACTTGAACCCAGGAGGCAGAGGTTGGAGTGAGCCGAGATCGCGCCACTGTACTCCAGCCTGGGCAACAGAGCAAGATTCCGTCTCAAAAAAAAGAAAAAAAAATTGATCCCACAGAGATAGAGAATACATACTAGAGGCTGGGAAGGGTGTGAGGGTGGGTAAAGAGAGGTTGATTAGTGGGTACATAGTTAGAATAAGCCCCAATATTCTATATCACAGTAGGGTGACTATGTATTGTATATTAGTAACAATGAACTCTAATTTCAACATAGCTAGAAGACAGAACTTGAAGTGTTACCAATATGTACAAATGATACTCAAGGTGTACCTCAAGGTGATATACCCCCTGACCTGATCATCACATTCTATTCATGTAACAAATACTCACATGTACACATGTAAAATACTTTCTATCAATAAAAGATACTGAGTTGAAAAATTCCTACTGCCCAGTGATGTCCTCGCCATAGGAATGTCATAGGGCAACATGTTACTCGTGTTTGTACTGATGCTGGTATAAACAAATTTACGGCACTACCAGTCACATAAAGTAAAGCACATACAATTATATACAGCTTGTAATAATAAATGACTGTTAATGGTTTATGTATTTACTACGTGACACTTTAATAATGTTTGCCTAATATGTTTTTTAAAAGTTAACGTTTAACTGTTAGCCCCAGACAGGTCCTTCAGGAGGTATTCCAGAAGGCACTGTTATCATTGTTATCAAAGGAGATGAAAATTCCATTCATGTTACTGCCCCTGAAGACCTTTCAGTGGGACAAGTGTGTAGGTAAAAGACAGTGATATGGAGAATCACAAGTTTACCTAAATAACAAACCAGCAAACGTCCCCCTGAACCTACAAGGTAAAATTTTAAAGAAAGCTTACAGATAAGGATGTATTTTCAGACAGTTGTAGTTTTAACTTAAGAGTCAAAAAGTTGTTAAAAATTAGTTTGCGGCTGGGTGCGGTGGCTCACACCTGTAATCTCAGCACTTTGGGAGGCCGAAGTGGGTGGATCATGAGGTCAGGAGTTTGAGACCAGCCTGACCAACATGGTGAAACCGTCTCTACTAAAAACACAAAACTTAGCTGGGCGTGGTGGCAGGTGCCTGTAGTCCCAGCTACTAAGGCGGCTGAGGCAGGAGAATCGGTTGAACCTGGGAGGCCTCTGCCATTGCACTCCAGCCTGGGTGACACAGTGAGACTCCATCCCCCAACCCGCGACCCCGCCAAAAAAAAAAAAAAAAAAAAAAAAGAAGAAGAAAGCAATTAGTTTGTAAGGTATAAGTTAAATGGAAAACACCTTTTATAAGTGCTTTTTGTAGCATAAGTGTACAGTAATGTCCTAGCCCTCCACTTTTACTCACCAATCACCCAGAGTAACTTTTAGTCTTGCAAGTTCAACCTATGGTTAAGTACCCTGTACAGGTGTTTCTTTTGAAACATTTATATGGCCTTTTTCCTCTACCTTTTCTCATTTTTCATTTTCTTTCTTTTTTTTTCTTTTTAAAGAATCTTGCTTTGTTGCCCAGGTTGGATGGAATGCAGTGGTACAATCATGGCTCTGCAGCCTTGAACTCCTGGGCTCAAGCGACCCTCCTTAGCCTTCCAAGTAGCTGGGACTACAGGCATGTGCCACCATATCTGGCTAATTTTGAAACTTTCGTAGAAATGGGGTCTTGCTATTTTACCCAGGTTGGTCTCAAATTCCTGGTCTCCCAAGATGCTGGGATTACAGGCATGAGGTACCATGTCCAGCCTTCTGTACCTCTTCTACGCTTAGACACACAAATATTTACCACTGTGTTATAACTGCCTGTATTCAGCAGTTACATGCTGTATAGGTTTGCAGCCTAGGAGCAATAGGCTATACCATATAGGTTTGTATACACACTCAATACCTTTGCTCTTTCCTTCCTTTGTTGAATTCACCTGGCAAAGCCCTAGTTAAATTCAACTCTCCACCTGCTGGCAATTCTGCATGTCCCTCGTATATTTGTTTTCCCATTCCCAAGACAACTACTTCACATCTTTTTCTCTTTAAATCTTCAACATCCCTTCAGGCCCCTTTCTGTTTGCTTTCCAAGACACGCCAGAATAACCCTAAGACTTCATCTATTTATTTATATTATTATTAGTTTTTTGAGACAGAGTCTTGCTCTGTCACCAGGCTGGAGTGCAGGGGCGCAATCTAGGATCACTGCAACCTCCACCTCCCGGGTTCAAGCAATTCTCCTGCCTCAGTCTCTTGAGTAGCTGGGACCACAGGTGCCTGCCACCACGCCCAGCTAATTTTTGTATTTTTAGTAGAGATAGGGTTTCACCATGTAGGCCAGGATGGTATCGATCTCTTGACCTCGTGATCCACCCACCTCCGCCTCCCAAAGTGCTGGGATTACATGTGTGAGCCACCGCGCCTGGCCTAGTAACCCTAAGACTTTAAAAGTGAAATACATTTAATCACTGGATGAACTGACAAGTCTTAATATCCATAAACAAGGAAAAAAAAATCCATTGTCATTTGATTGTTCTACTCTCTTCCATGAAGATCCATAAATTCACTCCTAACTACCTTTCCTTGATAGTATCACGAGAATATGTGTCATTATTTTCTAGACATTACTATACAGAAACACAACTAGCCAATTATAAACACTCAAATTTGACTACAAGATCTTTTGGATTTTCCGTGTGGCTAGCATCACCTATGCATGACAATTATTTCTCCCAAATCCTTCCTTTTTTTTTTTTTTTAACTGTACTGCCCTAGGTCTTCCAGTGCAACGTTCAACAGAAACTATGACACAGTCGCTTTTTTCCTCACTTCCTGCTCTCCTGTGTTCACTCTGCTCCAAATGGCACCTCCCTTCTGAAGACAAAAACAGACAAACAAACAAACAAACAAAAAAACCAGGTTATCTCACAATTGCTAAGGCTGGGGAACCAGGCTCAGTGAATATCAAAACCCAAGAGGCAGATAGGAGGAAATCATCCCTGCTGTTGTATCACCAAAGCACAGCGACCACCCTCGCTAGCAAAATGAGTTTGCATAGCTTCCTAGCAATGTCTCTAGGTCTCATGTTGGTGCATCTGATTGGCAGAACAGGTTCTAAACCTTGATCTTAGCTACAAGTTTTCTGGGTAGTTTTTGAGATGTACAGGCTCTGTAGTTCCTTACAAATAATCCTTAAGTACTCAAAGTACTGGGCAACAGAACACAAGACAATATCTAAAAACGTGTATGTAGTTCTGTTTCCAACACTAGCACACAAGATTGTATTCCCCCAAAACTGTCCTCCCTCAACGTGTTTTCAAAAATCTCATTCTAACATTATTGGTATTTAATCAGTTGTTGGTCTTCCTATTTCCATGATATCCTAATACAGATGCTCTTCAATTTATGATGAGGCAATATTCCCATAAACCACAAGTCAGAAAATCATTAAGTTGAAACTAAATTTAATGTTGGCAACACGGCAGTCGACTTATGATGGTTTCATTGATGATTTTTCAACTCTGTGATGCCATGAAAACAATGTTTATTCAGTAGAAACTGCAACCCCACTAAATCCCCTAAGTTGAACCACTGTAAGTCAGGGACTGTGTGCATGTAAGTAACAGTTTAGATGCTACCAACAGTTTTTAAGTCTCAGGTCCATTGACTGGGTATTATTTTCATAAACACCGGCAAGAAATGGGCTAACAAACTCACTTCTGCAGTACAGATATTTACATTAACTAGGGTTAAAAAAATTTTTGAGTAGTCTCTTATCAAGTCCTCTGTGAAGAGTTAGTCCCAAGCAGGAGATGACTTCCACAGCACTGCAGGATTCCTGATGTGCCACTCTGGCCTACTCCCGACCCTTGTCTATTTCTCCTGGGCCCTGAAAGCTGGCCAGGATGATCTGGAGTGTTTCTGGATAGCAGTCACCATCAACTACATGACTATTTCACAAAGCAAGCCAAAGAACATCTAACAAAACATTTAGAAAACAACAGCCAGCCCTGGCTCACGCCTGTAAACCCAGCACTTTGGGAGGCTGAGGCAGGCAGATCACAAGGTCAAGAGATTGAGACCATCCTGGCTAACAGTGAAACCCCATCTCTACTAAAAATACAAAAATTAGCTGGGCGTGGTGGCACACGCCTGCAGTCCCAGCTACTCAGGAGGCTGAGGCAGGAGAATCGCTTAAATCCGGAGGCAGAGGTTGCAGTGAGCCGAGATCACACCACTGCACTCCAGCCTGGTGACAGAACACGACTAAAGTCTCAAAAACAGAAAAGAACAGCCAGACTAGGCTTAGGCTATAAGGTGTTGAGAACCATATAATTACAAGTTCACCAACCTCCATGTTCCTAAGCAGTTTTCCCATGGGTTTTATATTATTTGTTTCCATCTCTAGGACATAAGCAGCTGAACCAGTATTTGATGACCACACCAGGCATTGTGACAGGTTCTCCTAACACTTTAAAGTTGACATCTTCAATTGGCACACTGAAATAAATTCTCCGAACGTGACAAAACTAAGTGGGGCAGGATGAGAGTCTGGTTGGTCTAGGCTAGACCAGTGCCCTTTTAAACACTGCCTCACAGCCAAAGGAACCCACACAAAAAAGCCTTCCTTACAAATGAACTAATCCTTCAATGAAAAATAGCCAGGTTATCAAGAGTATGTATTTTCTAATTTTTATTATGGGCCCACAGGCATGCCACTTAAAGGATTAGAGATTTTAAAGACATTTTACCTGAGGGAATTGCCAGTGAGCATCATCTATTTGTAGACTGGGTCAAGCTGAGGGTCCTATAAATAGCTAAGAACTTAAACTAAAGGAACACTAGACAAATTTACACAAAGACAATTATTTAAGACCTTTATTAACAGGTGCTTGCAGTTTGTTGACTTTTTTGAAAAAATCAAGTTGTAAACTTTTATTACAAATTAAAAATGAAGTTCTTAAAAATCTCAACTTGACCAGATATGAAACAATTTAAAAACCTTTAAAGGCGTATTGAGAAAAACCAGGCTTTTTTAAAAAACACGTTTGTTATTACCAAAAAGAGACGTCTTTAGGTAAAAATAATAAAAACCCCATGCTGCATAGATAATGCAGATAGTTCTATTTATCTGGTCAACGGGCAAAAAGCAAGCACTTAAGGTCTTCAGCTCCAATCTTTTGTTCATTTCTTATTGCTGGAATTTCATATTTCTTCTTGTTGGATGACTAAACTGTAAAGAAAAAAATAAAGATGATCATGTAGAATTCATGGTAATCTTCATTTAGTGTAGTACATGCTCTAGCTTACATTACTTGTGTACTGGGAGACATTAACAGATCTTTTGCCATCCAGCAAATAGCAAAGGGGAAAAAACCAAGAGCACTACTGGTTGAATGCTAATTTCGGAGGGAAGGACAATCACACACCTCTCGATATCATGTAAAATGCTGAATGAAACGGAATCCCTTAATTTTGGAAATAAGGGTAACAAAAACAAGTGAGCTAATAAGCTAAAGTAACAAGAACAAAAATGTATCATGTGGTCTGCCAGAGAATTATTACTATTAATCTATAGGCAGTTTAAATACACCATGATAAACCATGAGTCATTCTCCTAGGAGTTTTCAGACACAAAACACTCTCATCTTTTTCCCAGAACAACATAAACCAACAAAAAACAATTAGAAATGATTAAAAGATTATATCGATGTTGCCACTTTCAGTGGGTTAATTCTAATAGCTATCCCACTTCTTTTTTGAAATAATGCATAAATAATAATGTAATTAACTTATTTCTCAGAATACAAGCTAGCAAAACTTTCCTCCGTTTACTAGTGACATCATAAAATTCATTCAGAAAAGTTGATAGAAAGCGCTAACAGTTCAAAATACTCAAGAAAATACAGGTCTCCAGTGTCAGAATTGAGAACTAGCTGAGGGGTGGCCAAATATGACTATGATATTCAATATTCCTAAAATGAAATATTAGGTAATTAAGAACAGGGCAGAACACATTATAAATAACACGGCTTTATCTGATGGAAATGAGATTTTCCCCTTCTTGTATTAATAAAATGAAATGGTCACCACTCACAACTGTCATAAATGATGGCCATCCAAGCTTGCTTACCCGGATGATGGTAGAGATGGTAAGCCGGCATTTACTCAGCCCCGCCCTGCTCAGCCTCGGGAGCGGACGAATTCTCAGCTGGTGGATCGGCTGCTTTTGTCTCTTTGCCATCTTGTGGTTTAGGGTTTTCTGGGCGTCTGCGTCGGTAATTGAAGTTGCGGCGGTACCGACGTTGAGGTGGCTGCTGACCTTGGGTCTCATCTCCTTGATTTTCTTTATCTTCTTCATTGCCGTCCTCTCTAGGCTGTCTTTGGCGAGGAGGGCCCCTGCAATGAACAGTGTCAAATTTAAGAATGATAAAACCTTCTCTCTCCAACACACCTACCAGTGTTACCAGTTGGTTCACAACTAACTCACCATGTCTGGCCCATTCTCTCTATCAAGTGGTCTGTAGGCAATTTGTGTAAGGAGATTTTTTTTTGTGGGGGGGGGGGTGTCGGCGGGTTGGGAGTCTTGCTTTGTTGCCCAGGCTAAAGTGCCACGGCATGATGACAGCTCACTGTGGCCTCTATCTTCCAGGCTCGAGTGATCTTCCCATCTCAGACTCCTGAGTAGCTAGGACTATAGGTAAGCCCTCACGCCTCATTAATGTCTGATTTTTAGTAGAGATATCTTGCTATGTTTCCCAGGCTGGTCTTCAATTCCCGAGCTCAAGCTATCCTCCCTCCTTGGCCTCCCAAAAAGTGCTGGGATTAAAGGCTTGAGTCTTTTAATCACCAAGATAAAGATACTAAATTTTGGGATTTTCTTTCCCCCAGTGCTCAGAAACGATGGATTCCTGGCCTTTCCTTCACCCATACCCTGAGCACTCCAGAAAACCCCAGGCCTTTAGTATCTATCAGTCATCATGGGAATAAATTCACATTTACCTTTGTACATTCTAAAACTCTTTCCCCACATCTTTTGGAACTCATGATGAATCTTCAACAAAATTGTTCTGACTTTTCTCTGTAACCCTCCAGTGGTGACTGTTCTAACCTTATTGTGGCTTCTAAATCAACTCTCCTAGCTTCTAAAAACTGTAGGCGTTCCATCTTATTTTGGATTCTGCTCCATTTACTATCTTTTTCTTATTGCAGTTATTATTAAGGTTCGAGGATAACAGCTTCTAATAACCTGGGCTTTCAGATCGACCTCCCAGTCCAGCTGTTTTCTCAGTTATACCACCCACCTTTCCAATTATGTACCTTCTGATTTTTCCTAGTTAATTCCTTATTGTTTTCTCATTCTTCATCTAGGACCTGTAATATAGTGATCCTATCACCTGTTCATCTCACTCCAAGGTTGGGCACAGTGGCTCACACCTGTAATCCTAACACTTGGGGAGGATCACTTGAGGGCAGTTCAAGACTGCTTGAGTAACACAGTGCAACTCCATCTCTACAACACAATTTTAAAAAACCCCTCATTTTCCCCTTTTCTCCCCTCTTTATCCAAGTATAAAGTCCACCATTAATCATATGACCAATCCCTACCCCAGGGTCTAAGTCTGGATAAACCAATGCCAGAGAAATCCAACTCTCTGCCCAATCTGAGCCTGATGCTCAAATGGCTAGAAACACAGAGCCAAGCTGGGTGAACTCACTTCTAATTTATGATTGTTATCCTATTATTTACAAATTTACCATCTCTATTTTCTCTGCTACAGGGTTCTTTGCCCCAAACTTTTCAAACTTCCTCTTCTTTTGACTCAATTGAGCAAACAAAGGCTTCCATGTCTTCCCATTAAACATGTGTACCCATGTATTCTTGTTTCTTACACATGAAAACATCAGGTTTCTAACAGGTCAACATTTTCACCTGTGGGCAAAACCCAACTCTCTCTGAGGAAGAAAACATTCCAGCAGTCACTTTCCTGCCATCAACCGTTATCCTCGATTGCATTTCAGCCTATAAATGTTATTTCTCAAAAAAATCCCTCCCTTTTTCACTCCCCATTTTCCCCTACTACCTGTCTCCTTTTCAGCAAAACTTGTACTACACTCTGTCTTAAGACTTCTCTTTCAATTTGCTTTTGAACCCACACCAGCCAGGATTTTACCACACCACTCCATGCATTAGGCGCAGCATGTTTCATTTACTCTCATTTGAACAAAAGATTCCTGCACAGTTTGGAAAGTCTAGCATTCATTGATAACTTCAAAGCAATTATATGTTACTTCTGCTAACTATCTGGCAGGATTGAGCATTCTAAACATGGAAACACGTAGACATTAAGTCTAACTTAAACCAAATGGCAAAAACCTTTGCACTGGAGGGGTAACAATGGACAAAGATACCTTTCTAAGAGACAAGTCAATCTCAAGCTTCTTGTTTGTCAATATAAAAACAATTTGCTCAACAGTGAACTGAAGCACTGAATACAAACACAAAATTATACTATTTTTAAGGACATCTATGAAACTAGTTTGGCAAAACATTTAAGCTCTTCAGTGTAACAAAAAGGTAAACCAAAGATTCTGCTGCTGGAACCCATGGACTTAATACATGAGAGCCTATTTTAGACCTACTTTGAAAAATAAAAACCCATCTATCTTCAACATCCAGCATCTGGCTAACACAATCTCCTGGCAGAAAACTGAATCAGAGATCTTCAATTCTAGTAGTGATCAGTTAGGATCCCAGCTCTTTCAACTGAAAACTCAGGACAGGACATATATTAACACAAGAAATATGATGACATCAGCTGCTCTTGCAAAACTCTCAATGTACACGTGCTGATAAGTATGTAATACAACCTCAAATAGATTCCCTAGTTCCTAAAACTACACTAAGTGCTCCGACTTTTGTAAAATTTAAAAACGTATATACAGAAACTCCCTCAAAATATACTCACAGTATATTTTGGATATGTTGGATACTTCTAGAATAATAAACTTGACACTTAAAAATTTGGGGATTTAAGAGTTGTGATTTAAGTGATCAGTTAAGATGCATTATTACTGCATTGGTTTGATTCTTCAGAGGTACCTGTCAGATTTTAGGGATCACCTATGAAAACTTAATACTTCAATAGCAAACCCTCACAGAAAGAACGATTACACCATTCTATCCTACCACCGTGGGACTGGGAACACTGCCTTAAAGCACACCACAGCATGGACTAAAATATGCTTGGCTCACGGAATTTTTCCTCCATTACTCTAATAATGACATCTATTAATAAGATTTCTAATACCCATTCAAGTAGATAGATTAGTTGTCTAATGATAGACCGGATTTTTCCTCCCAGAACGTAAATTCTTCATGGAGCAATTTCATTTTGCAACTTTGAGCTGACATCCCAACTCCAAAAAAAAGGGGGGTACATACCTAAACTAAGAAGTAATTAGTGGAAGATTATGTATGCCATTTCAAGTAGTAACACTTACTGCTGATTCTTCACTAATGCCATGGTACAATTCAGATACTCCTAATGCTTTCCTTTCTCCCTACCAAGGAGGTAGGTTTAAAAGACGTGGTTTAAAATATTATCTTACCTGTTCAAGGACAGAAAATTTGAAATTCCATACCCTCATCATTTAAAAAAAAAAAATTTATGTATAAAGCTGACCTCATCTATATGAGCTGTTTTTAACAGGTTCACCTCTTAGGCATCTGATGAAAGGAAACGTGAAGTGTTAACAGAAAAATGAGTCCAAAAGTCTGCGGGAGAGGCATGATATTGCTGAGTTCTAACAGAGGTTTGAGGAAATTTTAATAGAAATATGTTTATGTGGACCATACCTGCGGAATCGTGGTCTATATCCCCGATACATATTCTGCCTCACTGGTCTACCTTGTTCTCCTGCACCCTGGTTGTCAGCACCCTGAAAAAGATAATGGAAATCAAGGCTACTGGGTCAGTAACATAATAACCTTACCAGGAAATCCAGAGTTAAAAAACAAACAAAAAATCAGACCATCTAGTAACTGTGACTACACTATAAATTAACCCTGTTAGTTCTTACTAGGAATCAAAGGTGCTTTCCATAGGATTAACAGCTCTAAACAGTCCTACCAGAACTTATCACATTGCTGTTGCTGATGGTGAAACTCACCTCCATCACTTCTCCCTGCACAGGAGGGTTGGAATACTGTGGTCGACGCCCATAGGGTCTCCGCATGTAGTAAGGTGGGAACCTTCGCCTGCGGTAGGGCCGGCGTTGTTGGGCCTGGCCTTCGGGAGCACTCTCCGATCCCTCGTTTTTTTCCCCACTCTCACTATTCTGGTAATTTTGCTGGTAATTGCGTGGAGGACCCCTACGACGTGGATAGCGTCTATAATGGTTACGGTCTGCTGCATATTTACTGCCTTGAACTGGAACACCACCAGGACCTGTAACATTTGCTGCCTCCGCACCCTACAAAAGCCATTACATATTGATAGTGACAAAGGAAATCAGAACACTTTCAACAAATTTCAAACAAAGCAAAAAACAAAGTTAAGGAAAACAAAAAGGGGGGTGGGCGACTGCGTGGCCAGGGGTGCAGAAATGACTAAATATCAGTTCCTCACTGTTCTGAAGAGATTGCCCTCTAACTGCAGCCAGAATATTAGGCTTGATGCACCTGTGTTCATGAGGTCACCTGAACACATCCATCCACATTAGAGCCACCATCCTAACAGATGAGACCTCCAAAATATTTCCATACTGAAGTCAAACCTTTACACAAAAAGCATCCTCACCTTTTCTCCTTCAACAACATCAAACTCCACAGTCTCTCCATCTCCTACACTGCGAAGGTACTTCCTGGGGTTATTCTTCTTTATGGCAGTCTAGTAATATCACATTCCAAAAACAGATTAACAGGGGAGAATAATGTGCTTTTTCATTTAAAATGTACCAGAGTCAATATTATTTTAGCTTGGATATACACTTAAGATTTGCTTTAAATAAGACCAAATCATCAATAAATTTAGGAAAGCAGGGACCACGCTATCCCCAACTTCAACAAAAACACTCCAATCATACAAGGCCCCAGCATTTTACCACTATTTACAAAACTAAAACAAGTAATTTAACACTCAAGACAGACACAACATTTTAAAAACTGCTTTTTGCAAAAGCATTATATGTAATTTTGAACAAATGAGGATATCCATCTATCCCCTAAAGACTGCACTTAATAGTAGAAGGTGGCCCCACATGGGTCAGTTTAGATGACAGGCGAGTTGGGTTTTGCACGCTTCACAGCTGACCAAACCAACTTTGCCCCTGTGTTACCATATCAAACTCAATTACAAATGTCAACCCAAATCCCTTCCAATCTGATAATACGTCAGTGGAAATGCAGTTCACGTGTATTAACTATGTCATTCTTTATATGATCTGACTGCATGGAATTGTTACTTATCACCTCTCCAGCACTCAATAAATCTTGTATTAGAGACTTGTTGCTTCTACTTCTCAGACTGTTAGGAGAAGGGAGGAAGAGTAACATCTCACGTTTCTATGAAATTTTTTTGCAATATTCTTTCACTACCTATTCAATCTCATTATGAGACAGGACATGTGAAAGTATTGTTAATCCCATTTTACAGATAATGTAACAGGCTTTAAAGTTAGGTGACTTGCCCAAGGTCACACAGTTAGTAAGGAGACTTTCTAAACCCAGGTATTGGGTCTCCAAATTCCATGTTCACTCCAAATCCCAGCTATATCCATTACAGGATCACTCACGCATTTCGACTGCAGAGGAGACAGGACAACCAACGAATCTGAGGCCAATTAAGTGAAGCTGCCCAGAACTGCAGTCTCCTTGATACACCACTAAGACCTGAGCAGCCAAAGTCCCAGGAAACAACTACATGTTGAAACCACTTCCAAAAAAATGAAAGCTATTGGTGGCACCTTGTGAATCAGTACAACCGGGTGAGTTGAGTCAAATAATTGATCTCATCTGTCATCTAAACTGTCACATAGTTTTCATACCTTTCATATATAGCCAACTATCAATTACCTGCAGTCATAGGGGATAGCAGAAGTACGGATAATTAAAATCTCAACTCTTTATTTTTATCAACATCTCCAACCCCTGCCCCAACCCCAACCCTTAAGGGTTGCCAACAGGCAACAAGACTGATAAACTTTGCTGTCTCTTGTTCCTAAGTCTACATATTCTTTTGAACATGTAGAAGGAGAATAAGGAACAGGTGAGCTATGTTCACCCAAACAAGAATACCAATTTTATAAAACATTTGCTTTAAAATAACATTTGTCTGAAGTAGTCCTGTATTTATCTACATTTAGAATTTAAATGTTTCCATAATTACAATTGACCCTGAACTACCTGATTGGGTTGTGGATGTACTAGAAATTGATACAGCTTCCTCCTTGCCATTGAATGCTGTGTAGGACACTTCAGTGAGCTACAAAGCACCAACCTATGACAGCCCTTCCTATGAAACATGCTGCCATACAAGCTAGTATCTTAATTAAATGTGAGTAGGGAAATTGACTTTAGGTCTTTTGATTTCTGGACTATAGTACAAAAAAGTAGTTATGGTCTCTAACTTTAATACAAGTTGACAATATTTCAAAAGTCTTCAGGAGAAAACTGATAGCACAAACATATTTTTTCCTACCCATTTTGTATCTGTAAGAATAAGTACATTCAATGTAGCTTATACCTAAATTTGAGGTATTAATAGACACTTGACAGTGGTTTACATTAACAATCTTAATTCCTGAATGTACAAATATTTTCCTTAAATGATACTTGAGGAGAAAGTTCAGTATGTAGTACTCATCCTATGTTAACAGTTTTTTCTTTCCAAAATACTGGAAGCCAATCTAAAAAATTATTTAATGAGTAGCTGCCAATCTTGTCACACTTCCCCTCACTTAACCTTAAACTAGTGAGAATTTTTTCATTTTCCAAGCCAGCCAAAACTCTTCAAAGGTTAAACAAACAAACAAAACAAAAAAACCCAATACCCATTCAAAGTGATTTAAAATAAGTAGATGGCTCTTTACGCTACTTTTCAAGTATTCGCTTCAATTACTGTTTTGCAGGTCTGTCTTATTTACCCTTGATTATGGAGATTTGTCCCTACAGGCAGATCTAAAAGCCTCTGAAAACTTCTTGCCAAAGTTTCTGTGTATTTGCAGCAACATTATTTGTTCAACTTTAGAATCATGGAGTAATTTGTTCATCTGAAATTAGGTATAAATAGTTAGTGCAGTGAGTTTGACTCAACATTTGAGAAAGCCACAGCTGTTGACAAAATTCCAATTTGAAATGTCTAGGATAATTCAGTCAACTCTAACACATTTCAATGTATACATTTTAAGCATGCTACTACTCCTGTAGTAAGTAAATAAACTGGTGGCTGGACTTAACCTTTTATGAGGAACAAAAGTTGAAAACATATCTAACCTTTTCTTCTCACAATCCTTGAATCAGAAGTGCAAATATCTACACAAGCACTCACCTGGTGTACAAATACATCTTCCTTGGTGTCATTCCTGCAAGACAGAACCAAGTTGAACACGTTAGAAAATGAAATACGTCTCATGTTGTCAAAGATTAATTTTCCCAGAGCCTCTCTGGCTGCCAATTAGCTACCAGGAAATTTGGCGAAAATAAAAAAACACAAGCCACCATGCTCTCTGCTTTAAAGACTTAAGCAGTTGCAAACAGTTGTAGCCTCATTACCTGTAAGATAAGCAAAAAAAAAAAAAAGTCTAAGAAATTAAAGTGTGACCTACTGAGCCATAATTAAGGGGGTAGCAGTGACTAGCAACATATATTCTGCCCCTCCTTATCCTATTAAACATTAACTGTTCTAGCACACCCTCCTCTTACCTCTAGAGCATGGTTATCAACAGAAGTAGTAATTACACTCTCAGCTTACCCTTCAATCATTTCCTCTTCACCATCCCCTACTACCAACTTTCCTTGAGATCATAAAAACGAGTAGAACCTCCTCCCCTAGCAATAGAATGTACAACGCAAAGAGTGAAACCTAATGTGAACTGTAGCCTTTGGGTGATAAGGTATGTTTGAATGTAGGAAAGGCCCAGTTAGTTGTAAAAGCTACTCCACAAGCCCACACCAGGACAGATGAAGGTTTAGACCACAGAGCCATATATGAGAAGACATTTGAGATCTCTTTTTGAGGCAAAATGAGAAAGACTTTGTGGATAACTGAAGTCACAAGTGAGGGCGAAGTAGAGAATAATCTCACTTTTTAGCCTGCAGACTGGGATTAAAGTGGTAATACTAGGAGCAAGAACCACCACTGGAGAAGGGAACAGATTTCCAGGCCTGTAGTGACCTGCCTCACCTTACTCCGTCAGTTCAGAGTGAGAAAAAGTTCAACAGTAGCTCTAGTGTTTAACGACAAAGGGAACAAAGGTTACAGTGAACTGGACAAACTGGATGACTGTTAGCTTCTTGCTGAACTAGGGGGCAACATATGCACCAAAGGATCCACATAAAATTAACTTTAAATCTGACCTGTAAATTATGGCTTGGATTATTATAAGAACATTTTTAATTGATGGGAACAGGATAATTTAAAAAACAGAACAGGTAAACTGTAAAAGCTACTTAAGGCAAGTGACTGAAAACTGACCTTTCAAGCTAGATGATTAGGATTGCCTAGGGAAATGATAATTGTACCTAATGTCCATCTGTCCATAGCTCCACAGGCACCAAAAAAACAGATTACGGCCATCATTTATTAGTTCTGCTCTCCAATATGACTGAATTTCAAGCTCTAAGGCTCTAAGGGAAAATACAATAAAAAACTGGTAGAGTAACAAAGGCAAAGGCAGGCAAAGTCTAGAATAGTGATTTTCAACAGGGGCAATACTCCCTCTGGCAGGGTATTTAAAGTTTTTCCAGTCCGGGCACAGGGGCTCACGCCTGCAATCCCAGCACTTTGGGAGGCCAAGGTGAGAAGATCACCTGAGGCCAGGAGTTCAAGATCAGCCTGGCCAACATCGTGAAACCCCGTCTCTACTAAAATTACAAAAAAAACCAGCCAGGTGTGGCTGCGTGTGCCTGTAGTCCCAGCTACTCTGGAGGATGAGGCAGGAGAACTGCTTGAACCTAGGAGGCGGAGGTTACAGTGAGCTGCTGCACTCCAGCCTGGGCAACAGAGTGAGACTCCCTCTCAAAATAATAAAAAAATAAAAATTTTTCCAAAGATTGGGAACACTATCTGCACTAATAGAAGTGGGGGGTGTCAGTTGCTAGAAGGCTATATAAAGATTTGGTCTAAAAAGTCAATTTGTTTATTGTTATCTGAGTTGTGTATGTATTTCTGTACTGCTTTAATATGCATTAAATTCACTAAAAATGCAGCTTCTGTGGAGAATTTTTCATTATTGATAATGCTACTCATGGTATCCGGGTAATACATCATTTCTTTATCGATACATTCTGTGGTGGCACTGTTTGTTATGCCTTCTAATGCAGTTACAACAGGTATTCACATATCAATATCATCATACTCTGCAATAAAAAGAATTATAAGTAGTTATGGGGCAAGACCCTGTATCTACAAAAAATAAAAAATTAGCTGGGCCCCAAGCCCAGGAAATCAGGGTGCAGTGAGCTATCATCATGCCACTACACTCCACCCTGTGGAACAGAGCAAGACCCTGTCTCTAAACAGAGAAAGTACAAGGCTGCCATTACACACACGGTAATGTCACTCCTGCAAAAACAGGCAGGTGTTTTGTGGGTACATAGATAGATATCTGAAACCAACGTAGTTCACTGACCAATGTCATGACAGTAAAAAGAGTACTCCAAAAGGAACACTTAGCCAGGGTCTTAAGCTCAAGATATTTATTGAAAATGTCCTCAATTGTAATAAAAACATTATACCATTAAAAAAAAGTGATTTGTTGAACCAGTGATTTAAATGTATTGATCTGCTTTGAATTTGCAACCAGCCAGAATCTCTAGATTAAATCAGCAGTTATAACAAAGCAGAGCCTCAAATATTAGACAGTTGCAGAGCAGCTTTCTGGGTGCAGGTGTCACTGCTCTGCCAGCTATCACTCCTCTTTTCTGTTCAGTTTTTCTCTCAGGTGTTTGCTGGGAAATTAACACTGGAACTAACCCTTTTCTGGCAGTGAATATAAGCTCTAGCTCCTCCATCTACTATAAAGAAATGTCTTCAAAATGTACAAATAAGGAATATTCTGAAAATAAAAATTATATAGTAGTAAAGATAATTCGGAAAGAAAAAGCTACCTGTTAGAATTTCCAGTCTAAATGGCACAGAGTAGTTAGGGAGAAAAGGGTTTGGAAAGAGAAACTATGACTACAGATGAGAGGTGTGAACAAGCTGTCAAGTTCCTACCGGCTTAAGCTGGGGCAATCAGGCCCTGAACTCCAAGTCTGGATAAAATATTTCTTTGTATTCTTCTTGGGCACCTGCATAGTCTGACACACACATATGTCCAATTAGACTCGCAGGTCACAGGTGTGCCCTGCACTGTTTTCTTTTTAATTAGAAATAAAAAGTATTAGTTTAAATGTGATTCTGGGCCAGGCGTGGTGGCTCATGCCTGTAATCTCAGCACTTTGGGAGGCCGAGGTGGGCAGATCACGAGGTCAGGAGATCCAGACCATCCTGACTAACACGGTGAAACCCTGTCTCTACTAAAAATACAAAAAAAAAAAAAAAACAAAACAGTGATTCTGGTGCTGGTACCCTGTACACATGTAACAATACAGGACCCGCAAAATGGATTTTGCTTCTGATGAATCTTATTCATTGGGTTAGTATATGACTATAGTATTTCCCATTTGTATTATTATATTGGGGAAAACATTTTAATCACTTTCTATTGTTAAGAAAATGGAAAACAAATTATGTTGTTAAAAATGGAAACGTGATATCTGCATTATTAAACCCCTTTGCACAAATTTAAAAAAAAAAAAAAAAAAAAAGGAAAGAAAACAGTATTCAATTTTTTTTTTTTGACATGGCATCTCACTTTGTTGTCCAGGCTGGAGTGCAGTGGCGATCTTGGCTCACTGCAACCTCTGCCTTCCGGGTTCAAGTTCTTGCACTTCAGCCATGAGTAGCTGGGATTACAGGTGTGCACCACCACACCCTGCTAGACTTTTAGTCTTGATTCAACTATTAACAGCTGTGTAACCTAGGAACGCTGCCTCATTGGCTTTTTTACCTGCAAAATGAGAAAAACTACACTAAACAATAACTTACATTACTAAGGTAGGGACTCAACTCTTAGTATTGGGCATTTATATTCACTAATACTAGCCAGTTTTTTAGATTAAAATCTAATTGCTACCACTCCTATAGTACAGCCTATCCAGATTGGTAAGGGTCTTAAAAATAGACAAAATGCAACTCAAAATGGGAAAACAAAGGCAAAAAACTTTAACTTCCCTGGAAAACTTTTTAATAACTCAAAAGACAATTACAGTTTGCCTGATAACTCTCCATGCCATAGGAACTAGGAATTCCAGCATTTGCTTTTCATGGCCCAATCCATCCAAACTCCAGGACTCTACTCCAGCATGTTCACCATGTTTGACCACCCTCCCACTCCTAAAAGACAACTATCTTTATCCTAGCTGTATATCTACATTAAAAAAAGCTAAAGTTTAGAAAGCTTTTTTGCCAATCCACAGTATTGCCTTAAATAAGACTTATTATTCATAACTTTATCCATAACTAAATGCTCTTACACTACTACTTTGTTGCAGATTACCAGACCAAGTTAGTCTAACACCTTAATTCACCTAACTGCATATACCAATTTACAATCCTATGGTTATAAAAACTCCAGGATTTAGCATCTATATGCTCCATAACCTAAAGCAACCAGATACCAACTTCCAAGCCTTACAGATGACTGTAAGATAATAACTCCCCTTATCTTTGTATTTCTTCTCTATTAAACTCTCTTCACACCCAACAGACTCACTTTTTCCCACATATTGTCTGTGATTCTGCCTTAGGACAGACTGTATGTTTGTTTCCAAGGGCCAAGATTGGAGGGTAGCAAACTCAGTAATTGCAGCCCCAGGACTACGGGGACAGGAAGGTAATACAGCCTATCCTTGAATAACTCAACATCTATGACGGTGGATGGAAGTTTGAGGTGCCAATCTGCTGCACAGTTGAAATGTGCCTATAACTTTTGACTCTTCCAAAATTTAATGGCTTACTCATGACTGGAAAGCCTTACTGGTAACACAAATCATGAACGAACACATTTTCTATCTTACATGTACTATATACTGTATTCTTGCAATAAAGCTAAAGAAAATGCTAAGAAAGTTGTAAGAGAAAATACATGTACAGTACTGTACTTAACACAGTAAGTGTACATCTGTCTGAAAGGTAATTCCAGCTGTAGACCTCATCTACAGCACATATCAAGCAACTGAACTTCTTACAACGCCATGACTTTTCTCAGCTTCACTAGTGCCACTTTGCATGGGTCCCATGGTGTCATTCAAGACTTAC